CCACACCCTCGGGTACCCACACACTCACACATGCACAATGGCCCAACGAGTGACAGAGTCTGAGAGATCCTAACACAGAGGCAGAAGTACCAAGAAATGGAGATGGATGGGGAGATGAAGAAGTGAGAACACATGACTGACAGGCCAGCACCTTCAGAAGAGAACTGCAATGGAATCAAGAGAGGGTCCCAGATGCAGCCATCAAAGGGGACCAAGGTGACAGCAGCCCAGCTGACCACGTGTGGGACAGAATGGCCAGGGCTGCCCAGCTACCCAGCTGTGAGATGGAGTTATCTGTGCAAATTCACCAGGGACTGTGCTCTTCTTGTCTTCCTGAGACAGGTTTTCCTCACTCTGCCCAGGCTGAGCTGCAGCTCCTGGACTCGAGTGACCTCCCTACCTCAGCATCCTGAATCAGTTGGAACTCCAGGTACATGCCACCGTGTCCAGCTTGTCAACAGTTTTGGTTCCCATTAATCCTTCCTGATAATGACCCTATCTAGGGTTTAGTGCTATGACTTTGCAATACAAGGACACTGAGGTTTGGGAGCCTGAGTAAATAAATATCCAAGGTCTCTAGCTAGCAAGAAAACCAGTGCGTGAGGCCAAGCACTCTGATTCCCGAGTTCCAGTTCTTTCTACTAGACCACATACCTCCCTCCTCCAGATACCAGATCCAAACCTTTGAGCCAGTGGGCCCCCACATGGAGCACTCCAGTGTCAGGTGCCATGTCCTCCCAGGCTACCTCTCTACTCCACCCTGGGAACATCTTGCCTGTATTGGCTCTGGGACCTCTCATTTCCTTCCCAGGCACTAACCACCCAGCCTCCCCTGTACAAACCTCAAAGAACTAGGGAGTGACCACCCAACAAACCCATAACCAACAGAGGTGGGCAGCAGGTGAAAAATATGCCCCTCTCCTAGCCCTCTAGTGGAAGTTCTGAGGTGCCTTAGGCATGGCCCCTCAGATGGAGCCCCTCTGCCCCCTCAGCAGAGAGCAGCTCTGTCACAAACCCTAGCATCTGCCTCTTTCCCTTAAGTTTTATACTTGCCAGGCCCTCACTCCCCTAAGTAAACCACCTCACAGGACCTGACCTCAGGCTCTGCTTTCAGGCCCCAAACAGGGCCCTCCTGGTGCTCAGCACCAGGGGAACTAATGATCTTCTCTCCTCCCACTTCTCTTTCCCCCAGGACACCAGAGTTCTGCTCTGGTCTATTGTTTGCTGGATTCTGGAGCCACTCCTTCCCAAGGGGCCAAACCACTCTTGTTTATCCATTAACACTTAATTCTTAGCAATCATCTCTAGTCTTCAACTAGACAAACAAAAAGGTGCCTTCAGCAAAGTCACATCCCACCCTGGCAGATGCAGGAATAGGGTGAGGGTGGGGACGCTCTCCCAGCTTCTGCCCGAGTCCATGATTCTGTTTTTCCTTTATGATATGCATGAGAGGAGCAAGTCACCCATGCAGCCATTCAGGGACAGGTTGCTTCGCTGTGTGTGTTTTAAAGATAGATTTACTGTATCTTTTGATCACAAAAGCAAGGCATGCCAAGTGTCCAGATTATAACCACACACAATGTATAGCTTGGAAGCTGAAACCACCAGTCCCACAATCCCACTTTTTTCATCTCAAGGTGGGGTTATATTTCCCCCCTTTGGCAGCGCTGGGGACTGAACCCAGGGCCTTGTGCGTGCCACTTGCCAGGTAAGTGCCGTACCACTGAGCCACGTTTCCAGCTCTGAGAGTGGTTATTTTTAATTATCCTTGGACCAGGACATTTTCAGCATCAGGGAGAGACTAGTTGGTTCCCTCAGTGGCAGCCAGTGCCCTTATAAAGTACCATTTCTTCTTAGGGAGATGATCCGTCTATTCAGAGATGATGTTTGAGTATGTACTAGGCACCAGAGGTGGAGGAGGCTGCTATGAACCAACCAGATAAGACTCTCTGAGTTCTTCATGGGAAGGACCTTGAGCAGCTCTCCAGCTTTGCAATATTTACCCACATGCCTCTGGCTCCCAGGGAGACATAGGAAGGGGCTATAGCTGTCCCACTGTAAGCCTCCCCCAAAGGAGAAGGGCCATGCCCATGACTCAGAATGCAGAGCAGTGATAGGAATGTTTTGTGGGACGTTCCTGTTGCTGGGCCTTGGTGAGGAGGCTTTAGCCACCTGGAAGGCACCACTTTCAGGCCCAATCAGATCCTTCCCTCCCATCCTGAGAGGCCTTGTCTCAGGCCTGTTGGCCAGAAGCATCCTCACCTGTAACCTGTGACTATATGAGGGCCTACCTTTTCAGTGGATGTGGTCACCTTACAGAGTGGGCAGTGTCCTGAGGGTGGCACTGGTGGCTCCTCTCTTTGCCTGGGTCTCAACACAGCCTGCTGAACAGCTGCCCACAGCAGCAAGGACTGTAGAAGAACTGGGAGTAGGGGAGGAGGCTGGGGTCAGAGGTCAGAGGGTCAGGAGAGTGGAGTTCTTGCCAAGGGAGTCTCTGGGTGGAAGATCTCCCTCATAAAACTGGGCAGGGAGGAGAGGCTGGGGCATAGATGGTGGCAGAAGGCCTAGAGAACTTCGGGCCTAAGAGCTGGTCCTAGTCTTGCCCACTGAAAACTGCAAGGGTTGGCATGAGTGCCAGGAAAGGAGGAAACTCACGGAGGGTGCACTGTAGGTGTTTCTTGTGCCAAAGCAGGCCCCAACATGGTATTTATCAGCTCTTTTTCTTTTATTAAGACCTGTCCCTTTATTAAACATAAAATCCTGCCCTCCTTTACCATAACAATTCAAAATAAAATCTTGGACTCCAAACAAGTCGAAACAATGGGGGAAAATGCTGCTTTACTCATATTACCCTCCTCTTATAGCTGATGTTATACCGACGGCCACCTTTGGATCAAAGCTCTGAGAAGTTTGGGCTGAGGTTGGCTGCTTTTCAGATTTAGGATAGGAAACTGATACAAAGGGCAGTGACCAGATCAATTCCCTGAGGGATGTGAATAGATGCATGAAGTTCTGAAAAGGGCACCCACGGAGACACCCAAGGACATGAGAAGTGATATGAGAAGTGATCCCCCATCCAGGCCGGGATGGCTGTATTTCTCCCCTGTTCCAGGACTTCAACTCTCCCCAGGGGAGCTGACCCCTTAATACTGCCATCTCTCCTCAGCACCCCCTCCCCTCAACACATGCTTTGTTACAGAACAACCTTCCTTCATTATCAAGGTGTTCTGTCAGATTCAAGGAAAATAAACTGCAGTGCAGGAGAGGGAGGGGTCTCACCATTCAAAAGGAGCATTTGAGACTTTAATGGAGAGTTTGTGAATTTAATCACATCTCAAACGGTCAGAATGGGCTCGGGAGATCCTTGTGAAGCAAGTCTCCTCCAGTTCCACGTGCCAGGTGCCTACAGGGTACTAGGGGTCACTCCCATCAGCTGCCTGAAAGCAGGGCTCAGCTGCGGGTCCCTCCGTGGAAAGCTCAGGCCCGGCGCTCCCAGGGCGGGCTGAGTGACACAGGCCAGCGCAGCTGCGGCGGAGTGGTCCCTGAACCTCAGTCGCGGCCTCTCCGGGCCGGAAGGAAGCCGCGGTAGACGGGGAGCAGCTGGGGTGCCCCCGAGTCCGCCTCACCTGCGGGAGGGCGCGCCCGGGGCTTTCAATCCTCCGAGACCCGCCTGCCCGCGGGAAGGCGTGGACTCGCCCCATCCTTCCTGCCCGCCCTCCACCCGGCGCTTCCACGCCGCCTCGCCGCCCGCCCGCCGCTGCCTGCAGTCGGAGCGTGGGGACCCCTGGGCCCTGCCACCTCGCCCTCGCCGCGGCCCGGGCTGACACCAGCGCCTCCCCCGCCCTCGAGCTTCGGGACGCGTTCGCCGAGGGGGCGGTGACTGGGGGAGGGAGGGGCCGCCGCCGCCCCCACCTGCCTCGCGGGGCCCGGAGCGCGCGTGGCCCGGAGCCGCCGGCGCCGCGCGGGGACTCACTGTGCAGCGCGCCGCGCCTGGACTCGGCGGACCGCTCGGCGCGAGGGCGGGTGAGAGGATGCTGGCGGACTTCCCCGGCCTCGGCCCGCTCTCTCGCCGGCGAGGGCCCCGCGCGCGCACCTAGCCGCCGCCGCGACCACCGCGCGCTCCGGAGGGAGGGGGTCCGGGCGCCGCGCGCGCCGCCTCCTGCGCCCGCTGCCGCGGCCCCGACCCCGGCCCCCGAGCCGCAGCCCCGGGGGCGGGCGCGCTTGGCCGGCGCCCCCGGATTTTCCAGCGCCCGTCGCCGCAGCCTCCTTCCTCCTGCGGCCGGGCGCCGGTGGATGCTGAGGGGCAGCCCTGCGCCTCTCCCGGCGGAATCCGGGGCCTGACGGCAAGGGAGCAGCGCTCCGGCCGGGCCGGGGGCCGTGGCGCTGGAGGGGCGGCGAGGCTTGGCGGGGAGCCGCCTCTGGGAGAGCTGAGCCTTTCCGCCCCAACCCGCGGTTCGCGTGACCCGGTCCCGCAGCCAGCGCGGGGACCGTCCCGGGGCACGCGGCTCCCGAGTTCCCGCACAGGTAAGTGCAGGGCCCGGGCCAGGGTTCCGCCAAGCAGACAGCGCCCCGGGGGTTGGGAAGGGGCCGGTTGGAGAGAGAAGCCAGTCTCCAAGGGCTGGATGGAAAAAGGAAGTAAACAGAAGGAAGATGCAGGAATCCCCAGGATGGCTCTGACTTCTTCCTGGCACGTTTTATTTTCCGCTCCTAAGGACGGGGCCTGGAGGGAATTTAGGCGAGGAAGTCAGGGAATGAGGGAGATGACACAGAGATGAGGGTGTGAGAGATGGAGAGGTGGCTAGGCCCCTCCATAAACCAGAGAAAGGACAGGACTGGGTATGTGTGCCGTGTTGCAGCGGGGGAAGGGCCTGGTGTTGGAGGATCTTGAAGCAAAGATCCTTTTGTGAGGGGTAGGGTGGGTCATGGGGAAGGAGAGGTGCTCCTACTTAGCACTGTCCTTTTAAGTTCCAGATGATCAGTGCCACCTGTGCCCTGGAATTCCATTCTGTGTTCCTGCCCCAGGTGGCCACCCTTCAGCCCCAGCCAGGAAGAGGCTTTCAGCCCTCTCCAGGTCTGAGAAAGCCCTGGTAGGCGGCCTGTTTGGGAGCTTCCTCTGTTCCAGTCCACTTCTCCAGGGCCAGTAGAAACAGACACCAGCCAGGATGCCGAGGAATCAGGGCTTCTCTGAGCCCGAGTATTCGGCTGAGTACTCTGCAGAATACTCCGTGAGCCTGCCCTCTGACCCTGATCGTGGGGTGGGCCGGACCCATGAGATCTCCGTCAGGAACTCGGGCTCCTGCCTGTGCCTGCCTCGATTCATGCGACTGACCTTTGTACCGGAATCCTTGGAGAACCTCTACCAGACTTACTTCAAAAGGCAGCGCCATGAGACCCTGTTGGTGCTGGTGGTCTTCGCAGCCCTCTTTGACTGCTACGTGGTGGTCATGTGTGCTGTGGTCTTTTCCAGTGACAAGCTGGCTCCCCTCGTTGTGGCTGGGATAGGGCTGGTGTTGGACATTATCCTCTTCGTGCTCTGCAAAAAGGGGCTGCTCCCTGACCGAGTTACCCGAAAGGTGGTACCCTACGTGCTGTGGCTGCTGATAACAGCCCAGATCTTCTCCTACTTGGGCCTGAACTTCGCCCGTGTCCATGCAGCCAGTGACACAGTGGGCTGGCAGGCTTTCTTTGTCTTCTCCTTCTTCATCACACTGCCCCTCAGCCTCAGCCCCATCGTGATCATCTCTGTGATCTCCTGTGTTGTGCACACGCTTGTCCTGGGAGTCACTGTGGCCCAGCAGCAGCAGGATGAGCTTCAGGGAATGCAGCTGCTGAGGGAGGTGAGTCCTGCCTTCTTCCCCACCCTGCACCTTCACTTGCCATCAGCTCTCAGCCCAGGTGGGATCTGTGTGGTAGTGATGGGGATTGATTTCTTTGCCCTTGAGTCAAAAATGCATTCTGGCAGCCAGTGTAGGAAGACCACTTCTCTCTGTCTCCACCCTTGGCTTCACACCTCCATGTCAACTGGTGTTTGCCCCTAGGGAAAGGAGCATGTCAGGACATTTGCCTGCAGGGCCACTTCACCATCTGTGTCCACCCTGACTGGATGACAGGAAGGCTCTCATAGGCCTGATCTCAAGGCAGCATTATTCTGGCTGTTCCCTGTCAGTGTCCCTGGCCAGGAGAATCTCTTGCAAGGAATTCTCATCCCAGGCCATCACTTCCTAGCTCCAGCTTGTGACTTGACTTGTGTGGGCTTAGTGCTTCTCCGTCAAATGGGGATATTGTCTGCTCTGCCTGCAGAACATGGCTGTTGTCAGGATCAAAGGAACGTGGGTGAGAGCTCATTAGAATATGTGAAGAGCTGCAGAGAGGGGAGATGTGATTATCATACATCCTGCTTCTGCTTGGGGTGCCATGAGCAGTTAGGTGATGAGGGAAATGGAAGTGTCCCCATAGAAGGAATTGTGTGGGAATACGTCTGGGGACTGCTACTGGCCACCACATCCTGGAGTCTGCTAGTCCTGGTAGATGGTTTCTGCTGGAAGGGGTGGAATTTTGGCCTCAGCTCAACTAATATATTATGCTCCCTAAATGCTAGGACCCAAGCCAGGCTCTGAGGGGTTGCGGAAATCAGGGACAGGATTCTGGCCTTCTCAGCTTAGAATCTGGTAATTCACTCGGGGACTCCATGCATGGAGCTTAGAGTCAACAAATGCCACAGTTTTACATCCTACCTTCTACTTCTTTATGACGTGAGCTCAGAGCTGGAAAGTGACCTTCTCAAGACCACCCGGCTAGTTATGGCAGTCATGTGGCTGGAGTACCCATTTCTTGCATCTGCTTCCGGTGCCATTCCTGCCTCTATCTCACCCCAGCCATTACCCTTCTCTCCCTGTGATGGGGACTGTCTGCAGGGGCCCTATAGAACCTTTGGTGGTTGATGAAAAAACTAGTTGGGGCTATTCCATTGCCTCCCACTGGTTAGAGGAAAACACGGCTTTTGCTCAGCTTTAACTTTTTCCTAGTGCTTGCACCAACTTGCTGCTTGTTTTCCCTTCTGGCTCAGGCAGTGACCTCACTGAAGCTTCGAGCCTCTGCAGTCTGCCATGCCAGCATGTCCCTTTGCTTTTCTCCCTATGTCCTGCTCTTCTCATGTGAGCGCCTGCCATCGCTGTCATGGCTTCCAGAGTTGGTGACTTCAGCCTGTGTCTCTGCCTGTGGAGGGCTCTGTGGGAAAAATGGCCACAGTCGTTCCTACTGGGAATTGGTCAGAGGCAGATGGGCAGGTGGGCTTGGCAGCATTTGGGGTCTGGGATCAAGTTCTGAACCATTACCTTCAGTGTCATCCCCTGAGTCATCTCGAGGTCTGAGAAGTTTTGAGATAGGGGCACAGAGAGAGGGGCCCTATCAAGCTGACAGAGATTCTGGGTTTTAGCAGACACGAGGGACAGTAGTCAGTGTCCCTGGGGGCGGGGCAGCATACCGGTGACTAGAGGATAGGCCAGAGTAGTGTCTGGCCTGCCAGCCTTGTTGCTGAATGACAGAAAGGCTCCCCGCTGCTTGCCTCAGGTTCTCTGGTCTGTAGAGAGGGTCTGATTCCTACTTTAGCTCAGTTCTGTGGAGGGTGGGGCTGAGATGGTGTCAACTTGAAGAGGTGACCTGCTGGGCAGACCTGAAACTCCTGCTGACCTGAGCCTCGGTGGCCCTGGTATGTGCGAGTGGGCTGTGGACAGTGGCTACTGTGAGCCGTCTCAGGGTGAACAGACATGGCATTTCACAGCTTTGCCAATTTCCCCTTTCATGCTTCAGCCTTCTGATTTGTTCTAGAAATGGTCAGAGGATGTTTGTGCGGGAGGGGGCCTGGGAGAGCATCTAGTCCAAACCCCCCATTTTGCAGAGGAGGAAATAGAGATGGACAATCATTGGTGACAGAAACTAGATTAGAGCCCAGATGCGCTGACTCCCAGCCCAAGGCTCCTGCACGGTTGGAAGAACATTTGTGTGTGCTCCACGGGGTTTTTTTTTCCTGTGGGGCCACCTTCTTCCTCCTCCTGGGGACAGAGACTGTTACTTTGCTGTCACCCTCCAGATCTCAGTAGAAGGCACAGCTCATAGGCATCCCTGGTCTCTCTCTACTGGCCAGAAGAGAGTACCTGTTTGGGCCCTGCCTTAACGGCCTTAACTGGCACCAAGTCCTTTTTACCCTTTTGCTTTGAGGAGGGCTGGAATGGCCTTTTAAGCCAGTGTCACTCTGGGCCTCAGGTCAGCAGGGAACTTACTTGGAGCCCCCTGAAGCTTTCAGGAAGAATAGCTGTGGGCCTTGATCCAGACAAGGCACACCATAGGGCAGGCCACTGGCCCCTGCTGGGTCACCGCCTGGAGAAGTAGGAACTCGTGATTTGTCTTTCCCTTGGGCACTGAAAAGACACAAAACCCCCCAAATTGAGAAACAAAGAGAAAAATGAGTAAATCAAGAATAAAAATATTAGGAGCTGGGGGTGTAGCTCGGTTGTTTTATGTGTGCTTGGCACGTACAGGCCCTGAGTTCAATCCCTCGCACCACACACACACACACACACACACACACATACACACACGAATAAAGATATGAGCATCCCAGGGGAGCATGACCTTGACATGAAGCCGTGCTGGAGCTTGGCTTTGGGGATGGGGGGGTTAGGGAAAGGGGCTCCCAAGGTCCGGTTGGGAGCCTGAGATAGGTGGCTGGAGGCCTGGCTCATAGTGGGCCATGTTCCAGAAGTTTCTGAGTCACTCATTTGGGACCAATATGACTTTTTAAAAGGTGCCTGGGTTCCCAGGCTCACCCACCAAAGTCTTCCTTAACTCATGGCTTCCCTTCTGGGTACCGTGGACAAGCAAAGGGCAGTGTTGCTGTGGGGTGGGACACCCGGGACCTACCCTTATCCAGGGAGTGGAGGGAACCATGATTCTGTTCCGCTGCTCCTCCAGCCTGGGTTGCTTCTGGGCATAGGGCTCCTTGGAGGACAAGAGGGGCAGGGGCCTTAGAGCTAGGTGGCCAGGCCTCCCAACTTAGAGGAACTGTCTCATACCCCAGTTCTGCCCCGTCTTTCCTCTCTCTCCCACCCGTGTGTTTTCCCTTTTCGTTCTCTCCCCCCTCATCTGTTGGCTCTGGCAGGGACTCCCCCCTGAGTTGTGCTGGATGGACTCATTTTCACAGTTAACACCTGGGTTCTGGGCTTTTGTGAGTTTTGTGGTTTGGGTGCTGCCCCCACCAGCAGCACCAAGAAAACATTTCCAGTGTCAAAAGTCTTCCTTTTGACCCTCATGCCCCCAGTCTAGACCTACTCGGTTCCATGGGAAGGACAGAAGGTACACACAAGGCTCAGGGTGGCCTGATGCCCGTCCTGAGCCCTTCTTAGGAAGCCAGCAGGCGGGGTTCCAAAGAGAGGAGCAGGTAGAGGCTGGGGTGTGAGGTTGGGTGGGGCTGGGGCTTCACCCATTGGCTAAGGATGAGTACTACTGAGCAGAGTCCGGGCTTTGCAGCCTGCAGGGTTTGCAGACAGGGTCAGCCGTCTGACAAGTCAGGCGTGGTGAGGAGGGCTGAAGAGTCAGGAGGAGCCGCAGCTGGCAGGCTTTCCCGAGGTCCCTCCCCTGGCCTGGTCCCTGCATCAGCACCTCTTATAGCAGTTTACCCTTCACCACCCTAAACTGGCCCTGGGATGAAGTGAAGAAGCAAGAGGTGTCAGGAGCAGGGCCAGGAGCTGCAGCCATGGGTCAGGATGAAGGGCAGAAAACGTGCCGAGGTGGTGGGGCGCACACCTTTGATCATCGGCTGCTTTGAGACCCTCACATGCGCACATGCACCTGTTAGCTTCTGATAATATCATTAAGGAGAGAGTCTCTGGCAAATTAGGAGCTAAGGGACCTCTGAAAAATGGTTTATAGACTGACTTTGTAGCAGAAAGTCTATTTGGGAGCAGTTCTCTCATGGGATGAGTGGCCTATTAAGGCCCTTATTCACAAAGCCAGGCAGGACAAAGCCATGAACATGTGATTTCTTTCCCACTTACAAGTTACACAGCAAGTCATTCACCCAAGTGAAGGGGCATTTGGCTCTGGCTTGGTGTGGGGGAGTGCGGTGGTGGGGGGACGCAAGAGGGGACATGGCTTCCAGAGACATCCCTGTCTGCGGCTGGAGTTAAATATTGTTAAATCCTGGATGTGACTGCCTTTTTCACAGATAAGGAAACTGAGGCTCAGTTAGGTTGAGAGGAGGTAGAGGGCCAGATATCTGGAGGAGTCACTGGTGAATGAGAAGGTGGAATGGGGGGACTTTCCTGAAGCCCCTCTTTCTCTGGAACCCAGGCATCTGGGCCTCCTTCCTGCTTTGGTTGCTCTAAATGTCTTTGCTAAGCAATGCTGCAGTACAGAGCCAAGAGGTGGGAGGCCCTCAAATATAATGGGAAGCACCCCCTCTCCTCCTGGGACTTTGATGCAAGGAAGGGAAAAGCCCCTGACAGAGTTCCTCATGGGACCTTGGCCAGGAGCATGTGACAAGTGCAGAGGGACGAGGGGCAGGAGCTGGGTGTGAGGGCAGAAAGGCAGCAGGCCCAGGAGCTTGCAGGGAGGGGCCAGGAGACAGGAGGGAGGCAGACTCATCCCCAGTCTTGGCCCTTGGGGTCTGCTGCTGTCCTGGGGCTGGAGCGAAGTGGCCATCATTTGTGAATAGTGCACAGATGAACCTGCGTGGAGCAACGGGAGTACTGAACCCAGGGTCAGCCATCTGACAAGTCAGGGGTGGAGAAGATGCAGAGCCCGGAGCGCAGGGCTGTGGTGGCCCACCGCACGGGATGAA